CTTTCGGCTATTCTTTTAGCCATTATTAAGGATGAATTTTGTTATTTATATTTAACTGAATGTATGGATTTTTTATACATATATATCTAGAGTTATAGGAATGTTTTTTTCAAACACGGTCAGTACATAGATAATGTCATTGTATGTTGGCTTTTTTCTTTTTTTACATCCGCAGCATACTCGTAGAAATTAGAGCGCTATAATAGCTTCATCCACATGTAAAAAAGCTAAAAATAATGGAAGCATTATTAATAAAATACAGCTGGTATTGCTAAGCGGTCACCATCTAGGTACTAATCAGGTTCGACATTGCTTAACTTCGGGCATCTCGACTTTGTTTTCTTCTCCTTTGCGTAACTTTTTTTTTTAATTCGCGACTCTTCTTCTTTCCAACGACATGAAATGACAAAATTGAGACGCCATCTCCGTTGTTTCGCTCATCCCTCGAGCTTTTGTCCCAATCACACATCGCAGAGATCTTATGACAGAGTTGGTGACGCAGTGACATCGAATATCGCGCGTACACCCCGTTCACGCATGCGTATGGGATCAATTTTATGGCTATTTTTTCGCTTTCACACATTTTTCCATGTTTTCTGACAAACCGTTAAGTTTGTTGTTTTTGCTAGCATCGTATGCTGATTCTTGTACCATCAGCATATAAATTGAAAAAAAAAAAGGCAGAATATAAAAAATCGATTGGTTACGAAATTCAAGTTCAGGGTTAAAAGAGGAAGCGTTAAAGAAATAAACATAAAGTATACATTTGAAAGAAAGAAAGAAAGAAATTACGGAAAGAAAGAAAGAAAACAAAAGTGAAATGATAAAGGAAAAAAGAAAAATTTAAATGTGAAGACATAAAAAAGAAATATAGCAAACCTTTAAAAGAAAGAAAACCTTTCAATGTGAAGAAAGAAAAAATAGGAAACATTTAAAATGAAAAAGAAAGGAAACAGAAAACTATTAAAAAGAAAGAAAGAAGCAAATAAATAAAGATTTTAAAGACGGGAAAAGAAGAAAAGTTTTAAATAAGAAAAAAGGAAAGAAAGGGGAAAACATTTTAAATCTGAAAGAAGAAAAATGTTAAGAGGAAAAGGGAGAAATTATTTCTATAAAGTGGGAAGATGCAAAAAAGAAAGAAAGAAAAAGAATAAACAAATAAATAGTAAACAAGGTACAGGGGATTACTGAAAAGAAAGAAAGAAAGAAAGAATTATAGAAAGAAAGAAAGAGAAAAGATCAAAAGGAAAGGAAAAACACGAGATTTGCAAATGAAAGGTGTTAAAATAAGGTTAAGAATTTCGAGGGAAAGAAAGGTAAGGCCGGGCAATGTTATCTGCACAATGCATTATGCATGGATCGAAAGAGTGTGAGGTGACGGCATACAGTTACGTCACACAGCATCATTCACACTTTAAGCTATGCAAAAAGTGGAAGACTGTTCCAGAATATTGGAGCTCGAGAGAATTCATTTTCTCTGGATTAGTCATGGATTAAGTATCAAAAATAATGCGAATGGGATTATCCAAGCAATAATACTTAGCGCAAGAAAGATACAGTTGAAATTTCTAGGACACATAATGAGGAAAAAAGGCTTGGCAAATTTCACACAAGATATATTGATAGCCAGAGAGACAAAGGAAAACATCGCATAACCTGCCTAGAGAGCTTATGAAAATGGATGACAGAACAGGGTTTACGAGAGATAACAAGAAGACAAAATTTATTAAGAGCTATAAGGAGCAGGAAATTGTGGAGAGTCATGATCTCCAACGTCCTGAAGAGAGACGGCTCGTAGAAGAAGAAAAAAGCACACAGACACACATATATATATATACATACATTTATTTTTTTCTCTCTCTCTCTCTCTCTCTCTCTGGCTTCTTTCATTCCCTCAATGTCTATGGCACTTCTCTCTCCCTTTCTTTACTGCTTCCTACCTATGTCTATCAATTTCTTTGACATCTCTCTCTCTTTCTGCCTCCCTCTCTCTCTCTTTCTCTCTGTATATGTCTGTCTGTCTGTCTGTCTGTCTGTCTCTCTCTCTTCTCTCTCTCTCTCTCTCTCTCTCTCTCTCTCTCTCTCTCTCTTCTTTCTTTCATCCTCTCAATCACTATGGCACTTCTCTCTCTGCTTTTACTTCTTTCTGTCAATGTCTCTCCTTCTCTCCAACTTTTTTGTTTCTATCAATTTCTCTATCTATGTATCTATGTATCTATCTATCTATCTATCTCAGGCTGTTCATATCTATCTATCTATCTATCTATCTATCTATCTATCTATCTATCTATCCGGCCTTCACTCTTTTTGTATTTCTCTCTTTCTTGCCACTTTTCGGTTATGCGGTTATAAGCCAGATTATTCCCGCCTGGCCAACATCTCCGAGGCGACGAAAGGACAATCGGATACATATAAAATAGTTATGTATCTCGGTTACAGCACAACATATATTTTGGCCTTTTCTAAAAATGATTTCTTTGATACTTCAGTTCCTTTTCAATGACACATCAGGGAACATAGAAACCAATTCTTTATGGCAGCGAAGATTCAAAAGCCAAAATTCAGGTAAATAGGAGATGAGATAAAAAGTTCACCAGTGGGAGACACTGGCATAAAAATGACTATTTTGACATTCTGGCCCTTATCAAAGTTCGAACCAGAATCATTTGTGCTGGTAAGTATTACACAATTATCTCTACCGATCGCCAAATTTCAATTCGTTGACTCACTAAAGCGCGAAGTTGACATGACTACTGATATGGCTACAAATCTTATCTTGCTCCAGATCAGGCCTGCACAAAATGCGGCCCACAGATCGTCTGTGACCCGTGAAATTACCCAGTGTGCCCTGCGAAGGGTCTTCAAAATAATGAATATTTTGTGTTCACCGGAAAAAATTCGGTTACTGATCACGTACGAAAAATTCAGTTTTCTGGAAGCATGATTTTATTCAACCAATATTTCACTGTCTTTGTTTCTAACTAGAAAAACAAAAAGGATTTTTATTGCCTTCCCCATCTTTCTCTCTATCTATCTATCTATATATATATATATATATATATATATATATATATATATATATATATATATATATATAGGTCTGCTCTACGGTTGTATTGAGCTTTTTTAGATAGTTAATTGTTTACTCGTGTCGGTTTTTTTTTCTTTGGGCTTTAAACCTGTATCTGTGCGGTTTTTTTCGACAGACTTTCATGTTTCTAGCGCTTTCTTTTTTTAAAACCTTTTTTCCTTCGATATTGATTTGATTATTGGTAAATCAAAAAATTGAAGGTTTTTCAAAAAACAAGTATAGTTACCTATATATATATATATATATATATATATATATATATATATATATATATATATATATATATATATATATATATACAATATAGGATTGGTGTATACGGAATAAATTCCAATAACCAACAATTACTATTCTTAAAAGAGTGCTCAATATAGAATAGAGCAGATATAATTAGTTATTTAAAAATTATAACATAAATATGTTATAACATCACCACAAAAATAGCCATTTTGTTTCAAGACCTCTGGTGTCTTATCAAGTTGCTCTTGATTATTACTTGATAAGTAATTTTGTTGAAACAAAATGGCTATTTTGTAGGGATTTTTATAAACATATTTATGTTATAATTTTAAATAAATAATTATATATATATATATATATATATATATATATATATATATATATATTATATAACAGAGAAATCAAAAAAATTATCTCATGAGTATAGTCTACTTCAACTGACGCCGAGTGCCTTAGACTTATTCAACTCAGAGGGTGAACTGTATTCAGTATCGGAACTAGAGATTTAAAATTTAATATCTAACAAAGACAGCAGTTGAAAAATGGATACAGAGCCTACCCATATCGAAGCCTCGGTAGGACAGACTGTCCGAGTCGTGGTAATGAGAGGGCGGAACTTATCTATCTTAAAAGGAAAGAAGCTCCACAAATTTAAACCAGATATTAACCTTAAGACCCCAAATTGGGGTTATACTAATGATGAAGTAAAACTAAACGAAAGCCGAAAAAAAGCAGTTTTATAAAACGAAATTTTTAATTATTAATTATATAAAAAAATTGTTCCCCCTAAAAATGACGAAATATGCTTACAAATAGGATATAATAAAATTAACTATAAATCGTTTTTTAGTTTATATTAAGAAAGAATATAATTAATTAATAAACATAAAAGTAAAAACAATTGTATTAATCATTTAAAAATTTTAAAGATAAGTTTAATTATTAAGAATACAAACCATACCCAGTAATAAGTAAAAAAAAAAAATACTAAATAATCAAAAAAAAGATAGTTCATAAAGTAGGGGATGGCTATAAGATAGGATTGATATGGAGAAGGCAAAATAAGGCAAAATAACTATAGTTATATGTTTAACATTACAAGAGTTAGATAATTAAAAAATAAAATAAGATCAAAAAAATTATAGAAGTTTAAACCAATTTCTATGACGACATTTTAAGGAAATAATTTTTTTAAATAATTTAACTTATCTTTAAAATTTTTACTTTTATGTTTATTCATTAATTTTTTAATATATTCTTTCTTAATATAAACTATCTAAAAACGATTTATTGTTAATTTTATTATATCTTATCTGTAAGCATATTTTGGTAGTTTTTGGTAGGAAAAATTTTCTATAATTAAAAATTAAAAATTTCGTTTTATAAAACTCTTTTTTCCGGCCTTCCTTTAGTTTCACTTCATCTTTCTTATAACCCCAATTTGGGTTTTATGGTTAATATCTGGGTTGAATTTGTGTGGCTTCTTTCCTTTTAGAATTCCGCCCTCCCCTTATCACCAATCGGACAGTCTGTCCTGTCTGCTGGGTTATGGGTTGTCTCTGTATCAAATTTTCAACTACAGTCTTTGATAAATATTAAATTTTAAATCTGTAATTCCGACACTGAAGACAGTCTAACGTCTGAGTTGAATAAGGCAGATGCATTCGGTGTTAAGTGAAATAGTCTACAGTCTTTAGGTAATTTTGGATTTCTCTCTTATTTAATTTATATGATCTGTTATAATAAATACATTGGGGGCTCTTTTTGTGGATCAGTTTTAATATTTTATATTATTAGGATCCACTTGGATTATATACCTACAGATTTATTACCTGTATTATATATATATATATATATAGTAAAATTCTGACGTTCGTAGCATTTACTTTTTTTAAAGTGCTCAAAACAAAGCAGAGTAATATATTATTATTATTTTATTATAAAACATTACAGCAAAAACAGTAATTTACCTTAAGACTTTACTCTTGCAAAAATCACAATGATTTTATGGGACTCTTACCACTCTGCAGGACAGACCAAAGATACGAACAGACATATGAACAGAGATATAGAGAGAGTGAGTAGGTGAGTGAGTGAGTGAGTGAGTGAGTGAGTGAGGTATTGAAAGAGATATGAACAAGATCCGAGATAAAACAGGACTGAGAAACACTGCTGACTAAAATGATTAACAAAGTTTGATTATTTTTTATTCGATATAATTATTAAGATAATTGTATCTTAAAGATTTTCTAGAAAAGAGCAAATAAAAAAACTGAGGTCGACGTTATATATATATATATATATATATATATATATATATATATATATATATATATTTACACGCACAATAACTTAATATTTAATTTTGATTAACTGTAAACAAGGCGGAAAAAATAATTGTGGGGCCCAAATTAATGGTACGAAAAAATTGATTAGTCATTTAGAGCTATAAATTTTTATATCTTATTCGGTAACATTTTACTAAATTAGTAGTGGGCGCGTGTTCAAATGGTTATAACGTTCGGTTTCGGAACATGTAACCCGAGTTCGAATTTCACCGTGGTCGATTAATCAGAAAGTTTCGGTATCTTAGGAAAGTACCGGAAAAAAACATACAACGAGTTGACCCAAGAAATGACATCGGGTGAACGGAACTATTCGTACTTTCACTACAGCGGATTCCCAAAATATTCCTAATATCCTAAGTTGTAACATTCGGATTATTTTTTTCAAAAGTTCTTAAAAGGTTATGTTCTGCTGTGGCTTATTTGCCACATTACTTTCTATCTTAGCGTTGATTCTATCAGAATAATTCGTTTAGAAATTACACTGTACGTTATATCGTGAATAATCACAGCGAGATTAAAATTACAAACTTGAAACTCTGGAAATCAATAAATATTATTTAATATTTAATATTCATCCTTTATATATTTAAGAAACGAAACTAATGGCGTTCCATCACCACCGAGCGGACTCTGAATGTTCGCCTATCACGATGAACGGGTGCTTTCTCAGGGATGTCCCGTGCCTTGAACGCCTATTGTGATTAAGCTCAACCCAGATCTCAAGTGGGTCTCGTGCATCCATCGCTAAAAAGACTGGAAAAATGGCCGGTTCCCTGTAGTTCCCCATTAAGTACCTGACTCCACCTGTTACCATTACAAGAGCTAAATCAGGGCCTACGGCCACATAACGTCGAAGTTAAGCAAGTTAGTTAAAAATATCGCAGAAATGTATGTTTTAACACGGAGGTAGGTGATTATTTAAGGTGCTGACAGCTTGACTGACATCCGGAAAATTTACAATGTTTTTGTACGGGGAGCATATCTGTAAAAGTTACTTGAGGAATATAACATGAGCGCCTTTTTTATATAATTTTTGACTACCCAGTAATTTTTCAAAAATAGGAAATTATTCCTCGTAATCTAATATTTTATTAAATTTTAGGTACTTTGACTTTAAATCAATCTCGTTTTCTTTCATAAACGTTGGTTAACTCATTTTTCTCCAAACAAGAAATCAGCTAATGATACAACGATATATGGGTATACTTTCCAAACTGGCTGGTTACATTCAATGCTTCGAAAACCAAACTGGTAACTTTCGATCATCACCGAAAGGACCCTGAATGTTCGCCTATCGCGATGAACGGGTCCTCTCACAGGGACGCCCCGTGCTTTGAGTGCCTATTGGGAGTTAAGCTTCAACACAGACCTCAAGTGGATCTCTTGCATACGATCCTTCTCTAAAGACGCTGGAAAAATGACCGGTTCCCTGTAAGCGCTCCAGTAAGTACCTGACTCCTCCTATTACTCTTTACCTTTACAAGAGCCAAATAGAGTCTGTCGACCACATCACGTTGAAACACGGGTTACGATCACCAAGGTTAAGCAACATCGAGCCTGTTCAGTAAAATGTAAAATCTTGTTTGAAGATTTTGTTTTAGTTTTAATTTCAAGCTAATAGATTCAATTGAATAATTTCAATAAGAATGTAGTTGAAATCTAGTTTTAATTGACTGTAAATTTTTTTAAGTTTACTAAAAATCGCTGATTTTTAGCCATTTTTAGATATCTGTCAACATAATGTACTTTATTAAAAAATCTTTCAAAAATAAAATATTCTTTTCTGAGACTTTATTTTATGAATATTAGCTGATTTAAAGATTA